AGTCCCGGCAGGAGCGGGGGGTCCGTGCAGCTGTCTGGGCACCAAGAGATGCGATGTCCCATYGTCCCATTGTCCCACCCTCCCTAAAGTGCCACTGAGCCACGTTCTCTCTCAGGAGAGCTCTGAGGCTTCAAAACAGCACATTTGAGCATCACTTCAGCGCATCCTCTGGTGCTTTGCTGGAGCTGCAGAACTCGAGCTCTGGCCCCGCTCCTTTCCCTGCCCGGCTCTCTTCTCCTCCCCAAGCAGGAGGTGCAGGAAATGTGGGCTGGGGGATCAGGATCCCACCCTGCCCCTTCCTTTCCCTGCTGGAAAGCTGCTGACACGGATACACAAATAACTGATAGCATTAAGGTACCAGGGAGGAGGGTGTTTTGTAAAGTAGAATGCAGACTGCTTAAATAATGAATTAAGAGGCATCAAAAATGCGTATGTAAAAGGACAGAGAGGGAAGGGCTGATATTTTAGACTATGCTAGACCACAATRAATAAATTATAAGGAAGGCTGAATACTTTACTAAGTATAAAGATGTCTAGCAAAAGAAAAGTTCTTGCTCTTTTCATCCCCCACTGGGTCCYGAATGAAGACAGAGCTGAGAGGGCTCAGCTGGTCTGTGAGTTTTTTTTTTCCTGTGTAGATTTTCCTCTGGATTGAGGCATTTTTATTTAACAGCATCCACCCTGTCTTTAAGCCTTTCACACCAGAGACAAGCTTGCTTATTTTTCTGACGCAGCCGAAGCTCTTGCAGTCATAACAAACTAAGAACACGCAGTCAGYGTGACAGAGACGGAGTGAAGGGTAGGAGGCACATTTCACTGCGCTATCAGGGCTGGGGCACGGTAATTGGTGAGGAAACAATCGGGAGCTGTCAGCTCCAAACACACGCCTGATGTGCAGAGCCCTCGATGGGTAAGGAACGATGTCCACTGTGGTCACCACTGCCCTCTCAGAGTGCCAGGATCCTCTCAGAGCCCTGAACAGCTCAAACATCCCTCCCTGTCCCAACACAGCCCCCCACAGCCTGCACGTCCCACCAGCCAGAGCGGGTTCCTCTAGATGACACATCACATGATGAGGATTTTAATTACCTGCAAGATGCAAAATAAATCAAATGCCAAAATGGGATAATGCTTGCTGCAATCTCCACCAGAACTGCTCATACTTCAGGATCTGTCCAYGTTCCTCACCTGACACAGATCCATGGAGAGTGGCCGAGAGATRACAAACTGTACCAGTCATTTACTGACCTTCACTGTCCAGGGCAGCCTTCTTCTCACAGAGCCTGCCCACCAGAGAGTTATGAATCAGTCAGCATGGAATCGTTTAGGTTAGAAAAGGCCTTTTACATCACTGAATCCAACCATAAACCCAGCACAGCATCAGTGACAGCAAAATGAGAGTTCAGGTGTTTCCTCACACGTGGGGACACCAGCAAGCCCTGATTCAACCACCAAAGCTGATGATGGGTAGTGGTCTCACATCACATCTGCCTTATTTCAATGCTTCCATCACACTACATACCTCACCCGCTTTCCACCCTTCTTGCCTGGTACAATTCAAATAATTCCTACCCTGTATTAACATTTACAGCTTATTTTTGTTTTGCTCAGCTGCTGAAAGCTGAGGATCAGATGTCAGGCAGAGAAATCACCTCCTCTGGCTCTATCCACTGGATAACACTGGACACCACAGCCCTCCTTGGGCACCCAGAGCCCTGAGTCAGCTCCAAGCTTCCCAAATCTGTGAAGAAAAGTCAACCAATCCCATCTTCAGTGAGCAACTGGAGGATAAGTTTGGAAAGGCAGCAATCTGCAAAGCTCAAATATTTTCCTTTAAAAACAACTGACTTCATGGTAGTTACTTTTTAAAAATAAACTGAATAACAAGTCCACCATTTCCCAATATTTCTTACTGTATTTCAGGAGTCAGTGGTCCATTTTTCCATTACACCAGATACATGTGCACACACACCACCCTTCTCAGTGAACTACACTGGAGAAGAAATTACATAGTGGAAGGTGCAGGATATATTGCTTGGGTGGGTGATGTGTTGCATAAGTGAAAATTGAGACTTTGCAAGGAAAGTCTCAATTTCAAATTCCTTTGAAAAAAGGAATTGCATTAACTACTAAAAGGTGACAGTTTGGCACGAAGTAGTTTTAGAACAAAACATGAAGCAGCATTTTGTTGCAAAAGATTAACTGAAAGTTATTTTCCAACACCAAGTAAGTTTCTTGAAGAAAAACTGAAGAAAAATATAGCAGTATTATAACATCTGAATCATCCTGGTCTAAAAGCTAAAATCTCCATGGATTAATTTTTTGCTTCCACAAACAGGAAMGGGGAAAAACAAAATCACGACTGCAGGAGCAGTTGCTTTGTCGGTGAGCAGATTGTGCATCTGAGATTCCYGTCAGCGTTGGAAAGGGCTCTAGTGACACCTACTGCTACAATCGGCGGTGAATGCTCTCCTGCYTTACCTGAACAGGGTGTTCCTCCAAGGGAAGAGGCATTTCCAGCCTGCAGAAACTCGGGAGCAGCAGGAGGCTCCTGAGCTGAGGCTGTCCCCTCCCAGCACAGCACTGGTGACAGTGGGATCCTTGGAAAGCACTACTGAGACTCGTGGAAACACAAACACAGCACTGCCAGGGAGAGAGTGAGCAGAGACAGCAGATTCCAGGTTCTGAYCTGGGATAATCAGCGTGGAATCATGGGATCTTTAGGCTAGAAAAGAGCTTTTACATCGAGTCCAACCATTAATGCAGCACTTTCAAGGCCAGCACCAAACCACGTCCCCAAGTGCCACATCTCCATCTCTGTTAAACACYGCCAAGGATGGTCACTGTCACTTCCCTCGGATGCTCTTCCAACACTTGACAACCTTTTGGTGAAAACATTTTTCCTCATATCCAATCTAATCCTTCACTGGCACAACTTGATGCCATTTCCTCTCCTCCTGTCCCTGTTCCCTGGAGCAGAGCCACAAGGTCCCCCTGAGCCTCCTTTGCTCCAGGCTCCACCAGTGATCACTGATTTGGAAGATTTCATCCTTTTCTGTGTGTTGTCTTTACTGAGAGTATTTGTATTCGGCAGTGACTTTCTTTTCAGCTCAAACTTGAATGTAACTGATGCATTCTCAACTTTCTCTTTTAAAATCCTGATTGAATGTCATCTTTTGTTCAGTTTTCAAGAAACACAACCCTCAAAGACCTGGCAACCAGAATTAACATTCCTGACACTGTTTTGTTCCCAGGTGATGGGGAGCTGAGCTCCAGACAATTGATTTCTCASCCACTACTCAAAAGCTTATGCACTTTGTGTACTACATTAATAAATAGTTTTCTAAAGGCCAAAACAAGATCTGATTTTAAAAAACTCCAAGTCAAAAGAACAATACCTCTGTAGAATTATGCATATYCAAAACAAATTTATTTTCAGTAATAGTGCAATTTTCTATTTTTTTTCTACTTCTCCTCCTTTTTGATTTGCCATGGAATGATCAGAGAAGGAAGGAAAACCAAGAAAACATAAATTAAATTAGGAGGTAGTTGCTATTGTGAGTTTTATTCACTATCTGAAAGATAATGGTAATAACAAATGCTTAATGTTATATATCTTGTTTATTCTATTTTATTTACACATAAAGGTTGTTTTTGTATTTTATCTATATCATATAGTTATAAGAATATTCCAGTTCCAAGAGAGGACAGCAGCCAATAAAAAGTCACACCTGTGAATGTGCTGTCAGCTCTACCCAACAGTGGCAACACCTCCTTTCAGCATCCCCTGTCCTCTCCTTCATCACTCCAGCACAACTCCCAGGTTTTCAGCCCTGTCCCTTCTCCCCACAAGCTCCCCCTGGTCAGGAATGCTGCTCCCCTCTCCTGGCTCAGACTCAAGGGAATTCAGGACTTTTTCTTTCCCCCTCCAGTACCTCCTTGTAGTTTATGACACATTTTCACTCCCCTCATTTTTGGCTCTGTGCCAACAGCGTTTCCACACATTTCACTTGATTTATAACCATATTCCCAGAGGTCTTCTGAGCTCCAGGCTTGAGAATGACTGTCTCCCTGTTTTACCCATCTGAAACTTAGCAGTTCATTTATTTCAGGCAAAAAGCCCAATCCATGAGAAACTCAGAGGAGTGGAAGTAAGAGCTCAACTTAAGGCAAACACTGCAAATTGAAACAATTATTCAATGTTGAAATCAAACATTTTACCCTTCTGAGCACATAAAATGCTCTCAAGRAGAACGTTTTCTTCAATTTTTCTCCTTAAAAAAATCCCAGATTAAGAGATATGCTAAACCCTGAGTTATCTCATTAATGATACTGGTAAGATTAACAGCAAAAATTAAACAAGTCTATTATTACTTAATGGCTTTTAAAAATGTATTGCCTTAATATTTATAATTGTACTCTTAAGATTAATAATGCTTTTTTGCCACCTCCCTATCACAAACCATTTTTCACACTTACCCAACTTCCCAAAAAAAACCCTGAAATTACATCTTGATGACTTCTGAAGTAAAAAGGAAAGAAACCACATGCATCCATAAATTATTTTTTATTCCAAATCCAGCTCTCGGTTTACGTTGTACATTAAACACAGGCAATCCCAAAAGCATTCAGGATTGGCAACATCACATGAAATCCCAAAACTGAATTCATCACAGTGATCCAACGTGCCACTTAAACACAGACTTTAAACTTGATAAAGGGCAAACTGCAGAGCTCAATAAAAAAAAATTTAAAAATAAGACATAGAAAGGATCAAGATTCCCATGGTCTGTTAGGAAAAYATAACCCAAAACTATATCCGGCCTTAAGAACAAGTGGCCCAAAAGTCTTATAGATGCCCTCAAATTCCAGCTTCCAGACAGACCAGGATGGCCCAGATACTCTTTAAGTCACAAGCCTGACCTTTGCTGTTGTCCAAACTCCTCCAGGATTTATTGGCAAAACCCAAAAACCCAACCAAACTTCCTTCTGCTGCCAAGGAAATTTCGTGACTGTTTGTAAAGTCAATCAACACAAACAGCATTTTCATCGCAGCAATATTAAGCCATAAAGGCTGAATAACATGTTKGCCATCAACTGTTGACACTGCACTCAAATTTGCTGAAACTGGTGAATGTTGGCAGGTTATTTTGCCCTTGGATTAAGTCCCTGCAGCCTCTCCCCCACACATATGTTCAACCATTTGTTTTAGTGATCACTTGAAAGAGCAGCTCCTCATTAGCTGTTTCTGTGCAGACTCAAGCACTCACTCACTGCCTTCAGCAGCGTCACCTGCACCACAGGAAGTTAAATACATACAAAGATTCTCAAAAAACAATCTTCAAATGCCCAGCACTRAGGCCAGCAGTGCAGGATGGCAGCATTACCTCTGAATGATTCCCAAATAAATAGACCTGAACATCACTTTGGACTTGAAGACATCAGGCTGTCAGGGCAGGAGAAAGCAGAGACACGTGACTCCATGCAATTAATACTATTTAAAACATTTGCCTCTAAAATCTGGCAAACTATGACCAATGATTTTACACTTTTTTTTAATTAAAAAGCTTTTTATTAAAAAAATTATGTGCACAGTTCATAATTAAATGTCTTCTTTACTTTGACTTGGTTTCATTCAAACTCAGGCATTTTACTGACTTTAGTTTTAAACATTTTTTTATTTTAAAAATCCCACAAAGTAAAAACCCCAACACACACACATACAAATACAGGAAATGGCATTGCTCAAGGGCTTTTTTTTTCCCTCCTATGAAGAAGTGCAATTTTGCTTCTATGGTTCTTTAAAGTGAAAGGGTTTTCTCCCTCAGTAAAACAACACTCTCCAGGAAGAATTGCACCACACACACAAAATATATGAAGGTCTCAACTCTAGCCAGCTACCCCTACACACTGATTAAGGTCATGAGAGATCTATATGAAGACTGTGCTTACAGTAACTCATCCCTACCAGTACAGACAGGTCAGTAAATGCACCTACACTCTGTGAAATTGCAGAGGAAGGCAAGTCAATACCACCCACAATTAGACTGGTGAAATGTTTGTATTTACCAGAACTCTCCTGCTTTTCCATACAAATGTGTGCCTGCTCCGAGCCACTGGGACTGTATGGCTGAATTGTAAGTGCAGCATGGGGATACATTCCCCAAAAATCCATAATTTAACACTGAACTCCTGGTTTTTATCTCAATGATCTTGATTCTACACATCCTTCTGGCCCCACTTAAGACAACAGAACTACAACCTATATTTTCCCCACTAGAACATCCCAGCTCCAGGGGGAATTTCAAAAAGAACTCAGCTTTGGCTTAATATTCACTGAAAACAGTGAACTGTGCTACTGGCTTTGGAAAGATTTCATTTAACARGTTTTCTGGATTAACTCTTCAACATTTTGAGGAAACAAGAATATGAACAGTTAAGACTTTTAGTGACTCCAAGAACAAGGTTCCTCATGAATTACTTTTAGCTGCAGCTGAAACACACCCTACATACCTCATCATTTGTCATTTAAAAAAACTAGAAGCCCATTCCCTTTAGAATCCTCAAAAAACTCAAGTTTTATTCCAGTTTGCTCAAGTTTTCCAATGCATAGTGCTGGTTTATGTGAAAAAGTAGGAAAACGCCCAGATTACCTGACATTTTAAGTATTCACTTAGCAAAATATTTACCTGCTCTGAGACAGAAGACTGACTGAACCTACTGTGCAGACCTGTTTTATTGGAGAATTTGTAGCTATAGGGAGAAGAGTCAAAGTTCATATTTAAATTCAAAATCACAGACGGTGCTCTCTAACATGAAAAAGTTCCTAAATTTAAAGTAGAAACTTGCAGTGTCTGCTGACCCTGGATTTACCCCAGAAAACCTTACATGAAATGGGTGGACATATCYTTATATAAAGATGACTATTTCAGAATTTGGAATGCAAAAATRCAGTGCAAAAAATCCATAAAGAGGTCTGAAAAATAGTTTTTACATATCAAAACCTCTGAGATTAGAAAGGGATTATAAAGACAAGGTATGGTGCTAAGAAGTGGTCTGACAAATTAATAATGGGTTATTTCCCTCATGGGGGAAATTTGTTTATTTATGGGCAGGTAGTGAGAGGACAAGGGGGAATGGGTTCCAACTGACAGGGAGTAGGTTCAGGTTGGGTATTAGGAAAAAATTCTTTACTGTGAGGGTGGTGAGGGCCTCAAACAGGGCACAACAGAGAAGATGTAGCTGCCCCTGGATCCCTGGAAGTGTCCAAGGCCAGGCTGGACAGTGCTCAGAGCAACCTGGGACAGTGGAAGGTGTCCCTGCCATGGCAGGGGGTGGGATGAGATGGTCTTTAAAATCCCTTCCAACTCAGGCCATTGTGTGATTAATTAAAAAACAGTATTTCAGTCAGAAGTCTAATTTAGAATTCATCATGTTTTACCCTAAACGGCCACTTTGAATGCTGTGAAACATGATTTGCAGCCAGAAGCACCAAATACATAAATTCTTCCACATCAAAGGAGTAATTTGTAAATTTTGGATGTTCTCCCAGTGTTGGGTGGTGTCCCTAGGAAAAAAAAAAAACGATAAGGACTTTCAGACAGGAAAAAAAAAAATCAATACATCTTCCATTCAAACAAGCAAGAAAAAAAATCGAGGATCTGGCATTTTAATTTATTATTTCTGATCCACTGATCTGCTCTGAAGCAAAAGAATTACCAAAGTAACTGCATAACAGCCATGCTATGAATGGTTAATGGCCAATTCATTTCATTTCTCTTCTTCCCTCAGCCTTTAATATCAAATGATTTCTTAATCASAACAAGGAAGTTAATTTGGTCTAAAGAATGAAAATCATATTTCAAATACCAGAACAYAGGTAGGTAAGGGAAGATAACTGTGAAGTCCTTCAGTGATAGCACTTCACCCTTCCAGTATGGCCATCATTACCTGATCTTGAGGGAACACTTTATTCCTTTTCCTCCAAGTGATGTAATGAATGCCTCTCAGCCTTGCCAAATCCAGGTAACAACGTTCATCCTCACAGTTGTATCTAGGGACAGGCAGAAAAACACATTTACCTGCAGAGATGGTGCTGAAGTTTACCAGGGTGAAACAGGAAGAAATTCAAATTCAAACTGCTGTCCAGTTCTAAGGCACCAAAACCATGGAAAARTTCTGCTCCACTGAAACAACAAGAGCAGCCTTCTGCTCTCCAGATGTGGCCTTGGAGGCAGTTTGAGGCACATGTGCGTGTCAGACATGTCCCTGTCCAGCTGCAGTGGCTCTTGGACATGTGAAAAACAACCCCTGGGTTTCTGAACTTATTTGGAGACTGGACAAAACATTCTCAAGCCAAGACAATGCTGCAAAACATTAGTTTTGCAGCCTTCCCACGGCAGAATTTCCCAGGATGGAGAATTCAGGGCTCTTCTAAGAAGCATTCTGGATTTCTGCTTAGTTCTATAGGACTGCAGTGTCTGCTAACACCCATACTGTTGACAAAATATGTTTAAAAGGAAGCTACAAGAGAAATTTAGGCAAAACACAACAACACAGGGCTGGCCTTGGCCAGCAAGCTGGTGCTCATGTCCTGAGCACAAAAAAGAGACTATAAAAACCTCCAGGGRACTACTGGMACTCTGGACATGCACATAATCAATTCACCTGGATCACTAAAACATCATYAGATCTCAGACTCGCCAGGCAGCACCTGAGCAGCAAGGTTTTCTCATTGTTTGCCATTTTCCCATTATATTTATACCATGGTAGATTAAGAAATCAAAGCTAAGCCTGTGTGATATAATTACATTGTATTTTATAATGAAAGCTTTCTCTGTTTTGATCCCCAGGAGAAGAGGCTGCCAAAAATGAACTCTAAACAAGGCTGYAAGACAAACATTCGTGGTCAAATACCAGCAAGGGAGAGGCTTCATTAACACACAGGATCAGACAGGAGCAGTTGTGTGTGAAATAGAGGGGGAAGGAAAGACAAACAGACTTACAGCTCAAACACAACAGCCCAGTCTGGGAGGAAGAGCAGATGGGTCAGGCCAGCTCCATGCATCCCAATGAATATATCAGAGTTGTGGGTAATTCTCAATTGCTCCGAAAATTCAAGTTCCCTGCAGACAACACAACAAAACTGGTGATGATGTGGCAGCTCTATCCACCACAGCAGAACATGGGGAAAGYACAAAATTAGCTGAAGGGAATACTRAAAGAGAGAACTGATTTTTCAAGGATCAGTGCTAAGAATCACAAATGCTGCAGCCAGCAGCTGAAATGATTCCATTTCAGCATGGAACTAAAAGAAAAGCAGGCAGGTTTCAAAACTTCACAATAATTTTTTGTCAAAAATATTTCTCATCAGAATAAAGTTTTTGTAAGTTTAAGGGTTTTTCTTTTTACTTGCCTTTAAAAAAATGCATCACCTTAAAAAAAAAAAAACCCAAAAACTACGAAGAAAATACCTAAAAACCCCACATAAAAGACCTGTTTCTGAACTGCATYCAGGGCAGTGTAAAATACACAAATAAACTTCCTCCCACTGTTTCTCTTTGGTCAGAACATGGATCTCTCAGTGCTGCTTCAGCTTCTCACTGTTCCTGCATGATTCATGACAGCTCCAGATGGAGCTGCTGCCATTTCGGACAGGCATGCACAGTTTGGGAACTTTTCCTCCAATCCATTTCTTCCTGGCACAGTGCCTGCTACACCTGGCACACAAACTGACCTCAGGTGGTGTCTTCAGGGACCACGAGAGCAGCAAATAATCAGAGTTATTATTCATTCCCAAGSCAAGGGTCACATAAAATAAGACATTAAGGTCATACAAGAGAAATGTTGACCTGTTGACCCACAGCTCGCCCATCACTCCCTCAGTAAAACTTTTCCTTGAATTGTGCCCACATTAGACCTGGGACAGGCACAGCACTGCCTGCAAACAGCTTCCACCAGGCATAGGCAGCACAAGCTCACAGCAGCTTCCTCCACCAACTCACTTGTATTTGTAGTCCACCACTTTGACCTCCAGTGTTGACACTGTTTTCAAGGCATTCACAAGCTGGGGAGAACAATAAAAAAGCAATGAATTGGTGCCCTCCTTCAGTTAATTGCTGCCTTGCACTCCTGACCTGGTAAAGATAAAACCAACTTCTCCCTTTGCCATTCCACCAGAACACAAACTGCACACAGCAGTGGAGGCATGAACTGAGGAGAACCCAGCAGATAAAGCACAAATCCCTTGCTCTGTCTGCTCTGTCACTGAGCTATTGCATCACACAAGCCTCGGTTTCTCACTACATAAGGTGGGGATGATAATCCCAATTCATTTTTGTCAGGCACTAACAGAGAATGAAAACAGGCATGAAAATATTAAATACTATCATTTTACTATGAAAGAAACTATAACACAGGCCCACTAAGTTGGATGATTCAAAAGCATAAATCAATATGAAAAATCATTACGTTTTGAGTGCACAAACTCTGATGCAAGGGCTTGTGCATTTCAATCTGCAAGCATCACAAAGGGTTTTTCTGGACTTCAACACTGGAGATGCTTCAAATAAAAGGAATAATCTGAAAGTGAAATAATTTAATTTTATCAGAAGCTCTGCAGTGTCTGTTTGCTCAAAGGAAATACTTTAAGTATTACATTTGTAATCTTCCATTAGATATTTAGAAAGGGCATCAAGGTTCAGTGTCTGGGGTACAGAAATGGAGACTGCCTAGAAGACATTTTAGAAYAAATTAATATAAACATTGGTCATATTTGTCCAAGATTTGTCAGAAAATAGATGTCTTGGCTGTACCTGAAAAAAAAGAGTCAATTCAATGAGGAAAACTTAACTTCTAATAAATCATTTTTTTAAATAAAAAGGACCACACCTCATTCTGGTTTAATATTTTCCGGTAATCTGTGCTGCGTGCGAGGATGGTGACTCGAATTTTCCCATCCTAAAAAGAAAGAAGCAGCAGTGTATTAGCTGAGAGGCAGCCCTCACAAAAAACAATCCCAAACTCTTCCATATTTACTTCTGGCACTTATTTGAGTAACTAAATATGTTCCTCCCACATGTAATAAACAGATGATGTAGCCACCTTAAAATTCACATCGTATTTTCCAACAGATTCAAAGCATCAAAACCTTTGTGAAAGTCTGATTATTAAGCAAGAACAAAATATTTCCTGAAAAAATGTATTTGATTCAGTACAAAAGAGCCTTTGTATCACACMTTATATGGCAGTTTTTGAAAGGAGGAAAGCAGCTTTCTGGATGGCTTGTGCACAAGTTCCTTGGGAAAAAAAAATATTTTACTTCTACAACAGTTCCTCCTTTTACCTCTTTTAATTAATTGGACTCACAGGGGTGAGCATTCCAAGTGAAATAAAGAGATTTAACTGCATGACTCCCATTAGTGTCAGCAGGAGAAGCATAACTAAATGCCTGTGCAGAGCTCTGAATGTGCCCCTCAGCAATAACACGTGGGCTGCTCTCCAGCAGAATCTTCAGCTGGCCCAGAACTGCCCTGGCCACCAAGGCAATGTGCAAAACCCTACAGGGGGAACAACAGAGAAGCCCAGAGCAGACAGATGGTGCTGGGCAAGCATGGAAAGACCAGATTCCACTGTTTCCAGCTCTGATCCAAGCTCAGCAGTGGAGGATTGAGGATTGATAAAGGGCAAGCTCTGCACWGCCCTGTGGGATCCCCACTGCTGCTCCATGGAACATGTGTCTGACTTAACATGGAAGGACACAAAAGCACAGAGAAGGATACAGGGATGAGACCCTAAGGTTGGAAGGAGAATGTCCTAAAGTCTGTCCTATAGAAACAGGACACAAGGGCAACTTCCACAAACATACACAAATGTCTCCTGAAGGCCTTTACAGAAAAAAAAAAACCAAACGCTAAATGTCACAGGGAAGGATAACAAGTACACAGATACACCCTCATTCCCTGCTGGGTTCAGCTTGCTGCTGCTGTGCTCTGGCAAGAGCCACCAGCTCCMCATTACAGCTGCATCATGCAGTTATCACACCTTGGGTCCTTCTTGTGTAATATTTAATCTGTGCAACACGTGCTGAGAAAACGCTCGGAACAGCCCCGTACCGTGACAGCCAGAGATCTGAAATCAAAAAAGCAATCGTTAAAACAAAGTTATTTTGCACAGAAAACTGGGCTTTGTGAGCAGGTTTTTGCCATCCTTGTGGAACAAAAGCCCAGTATCATGCACTGTGCTGCACATGTCATTACTCACTGCAACACGAGTGGCACTTCCATTTAGAAAGAAATAAAACTCCCTCTAGTGCTAGAGCCTGAGTGTGTGAGCTRATACCCTCAGGGAAGTCTGACTGTGCTCAAGCTCTTGTGCTCTGCAGAAATACCAGCTCACAGTGCCCACCCAGTAAAGAGGAATAATGTGCACCTCCTGAGCTCTGACACAGGAGACTGCAGGCAGTCATCTGATGTAACTTTTAAATACTAATCTTCAGGGAAGATCATTCCATTTGGAGTTGGGGCGTTCACTGAGGGGCATTTCATGATATTGGAGGGATTCCTAAGCTCAGATTYCATCCTGAGAGTGGATGGGTAGAGGAACTCACCAGAGGAGTGTTATAGAACAATCCGTATCGCATCCGAGGCAGCAAAGAGAACACRGCTTCTTTAAAGCACACCTGGAAGGGGATCACAGGGCATTACCCCATTGCTGCCTTCCCCTGGCCCATTAATTGCCAGCCTTGCTCTTAATGAGCMAGCAATTACTGCTCCTGCCAAGGACAGCCTCACTTCCTTGGCTGTGCAATCGAGTAGAACAAAGACAATCCTGATCCCAAAAGAGCTCTCACTTGGAATGACACAGATGCAAGTGTGGGAAGAGGTGATGAAAACATCCCAAAATAGAGCTAACATGAACTAAACAGAAGGAAACCAGTGAGTTTACGACATTTAAGAGAACAAAATGAGCTCTGAATGAATGAATCTGTCTTTTAGCGTGAATAATTTTTTTTTTCATGATAAGCAGCAGGAATACCAATAGTTACAGGGGGAAAGAAACACTTCAAGAGGAATCAGAAAACTTGAAAAAGACCATTTGATAACCCTTAACTTCAGTTTGGAGTCCTGCAGAAGTAAAACCCATACATAAATACCACTTCTCAGGATATAAAAGTGAGGTTCATCTATATAAAGGATAGACACACCACAGAATTAGGTTACAGCTCTTGTTTCTGAGGTAGAATACTCACATTACACAAATTAAACATGCATGSAAAGCATATTACTGCTTTTCTCTGGAACACCCCATAACTACAAGCAGCTTGAGAAGTTGTCATATTTTCTCCCTGGTGACTATGAATTAAAACAAAACACAGAATTCCATACCCTTTTAGAGTCAAAGGTTTTCAGGTGAATTATTTCATAGTCAGTAAATGCCTTCCATGTCTCACTGAACAGGTCACCATAGCCATATGAGCTCTAGGAGGAAAGCAAGAAACACCATGGTACAACAATCACATAAATGCATATTAGAACCTCTCTTCATAATTTACAAGTTCTTTATGTGAGTTTTAACACACATTGAGTTAATAGGTGCAACACCACCACTGGACCCAAGGCAGCCKACCACAGAACACAGACATTACACAGCACCAAGCCCTGTGTTTGCACTGGCAGATAACTCAAATTACCTGTCAGGTAGCTAACTTTTAATAAATCTTCTATAAATCAGCAAACTAGACAATTTCACCAGTAGCAKATTAGGATTTCTGAGTTAGGAGTGAGAATTACTCACAACTTTTCCCAGAGCCAACAGAACAAAAGATAAATTTGAAGTAACACAAACATAGGGATGGTGGAAGGACTGAACCTCAGCTCCTGAAACTAAAATAAGTCACTTGGGAATTCAGGTGCAGCACTGAAGTTTGAGGCAAAAAGTCACAAGCAGCTTGTTTTGCATTTGCCTGTTWTGGGATTGTCACCTGCATATTGCACATGTTATCACAAACTGAAGACACTGATCTGATTTGACAGAGAACAGCTAAGAAGTTTCTATATAGAGCAGTAAAAATCTTTCCCCTTTGCAGCAACACTCTTTAAAGAGCCATCTACTCCCCACACCATTATCCCAGCAGCAGGGGCTCCTGCCTTGGATCTGTCACATTTCCTACACATCCCAGGGCTGAGTCACCACCTCTTGCTCTTTGAATGCAATTAAATGTGCCCTTAGTAGCCATGGTGCAGATTCTCACTAAAGCTTTCTTTCAGCTCTGGGGCTGGCTCAGCCTGCTTGGAAAGTTATGTGGGAACATTCTCTAAAAAGAAATTTGGAAATAAGACTAAAAATGATAGCAGAAGAGAACAGATATCTAGTGAAATGTAAAAGAATCTAAAGGGCACCAGATTTCCTTCAGTTCAAGAGGCCTTCCTCTTCCTCTGCCATTGGGTTTTAATGAATTTTACAATCCAGACTCCTTTCTGGCCGTGTATTACAAGACCTGCTGTCCCAGATTAGAAGTGGAGAACTGATGAAAGCACTACTTTCTAAGCCTTTCTGCTCTTTTTAAAAGTGCTTTATAAACATTGCTTCCCTGCATTCACAGAGGATCTGCAAACCAACACCCAGTGGAATTCCTGCTCATTTTCTGCTTTGTTTAACCTACATCTAAGGGCATTACTCTTTAATAAGAAAAGTAGCTAGGAATTATGGCCAAATCTCATTACATCAAGGGGGGAAAAATAAAAGGAGAATGAATAATAAGCTCAAGCCCACCTTTTGATGAGTACAGAGAGTTCATCAGAAGTTGACTGGTGCCATCACCTGGTTTTACACAGCAATGAACTCAAGCTGCCTGAGCAGGTAATGCTCATTTAAAGTGATAACACTGTGGCACTACTTTGAATGGTACATTTGAAAGAGTTATTTGATTCAGCAACACGATATAAGACAAAGAGTTGCTTTTCAAAGTAGTTTTCAATGGTGTCTGACACCTGATCTTTTCAGAAAGCCATCAGAGCTGGATGAGCAGGTCCCTGAACAACACCTAGAGAGCTCACTTATCTGCCAGATGGCACTGATTTTAGCTTTAAAATGCAATAGATTTAGAAAAAAGGGTTTCTTCTAGCCAAAAAGGTTTCTCATTGAATAGCAAGCAGGGGATATTTGCAGTTCTATACTGAAGATTAGAAATACTAATCATATTACTTTTGAGGTCACACAAAAGAGTGTACTAGCAAAAGCTGAGCATTTCAACAGCACATGATTTACCATAGAAAATCCATTTCCTAACCATTACTCAYGCACCTGTATTAAAAGCATCCAAAAGTTTATCAGTTCCACATGGCTATGCCCACAAGAGAGCTAAGGACTGGCTACTAAAACATTCAGAATCTCTATAAAGCAAAAATAYAACCCATTACAAACATGTTAAAAGCACAGCAGACTTACAGTGTCCCACATGACTATGTTGACATCAGTACTGAAGGAATTATTGATATGCTGGGTAATGTAWAGATTGACAAAATCACAGAAGTGATGGTACATATTAACACCTGAGAAAGAAAGAATTGTTAGCAAAACACTGCAAGTTACTCCACTTTTACTGGTTTATGCATTTTTCCTTATTTGCATCTTGCATTTTACATTAGCTGCCCCTCCTGGAACACCACTTCTCCYCCCTGTCATCCAACCCACACAGAATCCTGCCACGGAGCACAAACTACAAGTCAAAGACATTCATACTTKGTGTTTCATGATATGAAACCCATCATGCAGAAACACAGCCAGAGACTGTACAGAACAGCCTTTGGCACAAAGTCAAACACTGCCAAACCACAGTCCAGAGGACAACTGTGCAARGCTAACAACAGGAAATTGTTTTGATTTTTTTTAAAATCATCTGTGGGAAATTATAAGATTTTCACATTTCAGTTTCCAAGTTTGTCACTGGAACTACAACAAAAAAAAAGGACTGAAAAAAGGCACATCATTTTTCTAAAAGTAAAAATATATTACAAGTGAATTTAACAATCATAAAGGCATAATGTACATAGGCAAGTTGAATATGAGCTTTTTTACTGCAGTACATTGAAAAAAAAATAAAGATAACCATTACCTGCATCTAATTTCATGAAGTATGTTGGCTTTTCAATAACAATGTCACACWTCCCATCTTCTAAAGGCCTGAAGTCTAATGCAGTAAATGTCTGGAGTTCTGCAAACCTAGAAAGATTCAATCAGACAGAACATGCTTTGACATCAACACATTTAAACAAATGTACTTCATATGTCTTAGGTTTAGTAACTGTCCATCCAGTCCATTTCAGTTAACAGGACTGCTGAAAACTGATAGAGTCTGACAATTAAAATTATTTGAAATTATAATGGAAGGTTCTTCARGGCTTCTAGAGGTTAAACACTGCCTTTGATCTCAGGAGGGAACAGCACCTTTGATCTCCAAATCAAGGCAGCAGAGATGTAACAAAGAGCCTCAGAGCCTGGATCTGTGGGCCCATCCAACTTGATCTGCATTGCCAAAGACACTTAGGCAAGATTTCCATGCTTTGGCTGGAATAATGAATGTAGTTGCAGTATTTATTATTCCTGGATCTAAACAAGGATGAGCAGTTGTGATGACATTAGCAGACAGGGAGAAAAGTCTTCCTCCTCTGCAGCAATTCTTGACTTAAATTAACCATCAATGAAAAATGAGGGGGGAAAAAAAGAAAACACAAGGAAAGCATAAAAATGAATTATTATATGGACCTTAATGGCTCCAGTTCCTTCATCAATTAACTGGCAGTGMAGCTCTGAAGTGCTAAACATGCAAACTGAGGTGCTCTGCACTTCCTACTGAGCCTACCTCACATTCATGTATTCACATGCGAATACACACCCTGATCACCAAGGAGTGTGTGAATTCACACACAAGTGCCAGCTTCAACACATCTCACCACAAAACAATCACCCCTTCCATACCCAGGTTAGGCACAGCACCAGCACCTTGCCCAAAAAACACATGAAGGTTAGAAYTTCCAATTCCAAGACATTTTCACATCTTCTGCAGCAAATGAGGATGAGGCAGGAACACAGTTACACACAGAACTGTTCAGACTCTCTGCACAGATGTAATTACAGGAGGTTTCTAATATGAGCTCTCAATTTGACCTTAAAAGGAGCAAGTCTTTCCTCAGTATGAAATCCCCTACAYGCAGCTGCTAATGCCAATGACAAAAATCAAAAATAATTAGCAAGTGAACTTGGAAGCAGCCTTGACAGGAGATCCTTACCAAGACTGCAGAGGGCTCTTGCGCTGACCTTCAGCCAAAAATGCTTGAACGTCGAGGGTGCAATGACCGCCAATTTCTCCCTTCTGGAAAAAGTCTTCTTTGAATCTAATGCAAATTAGAAAAAGTCTATCAGCTTTTGTGCTACAGGGCTACCAGTGCCCTGCAGTCTCTATTTCATACTCAAGCCAGCACTAYTCAGTCTCAGTTCAGCAAGGCACTTAAGACATATTTCAAAACCTGAGTATTTTCCTCAACATAAATCAAGAATTTCCCACAACTCCCAAATAAAGACAGTGGCGTCCTTGAAGTTTTAGACATCACCTTAGAAAATGGCACTAAACCACCCAGAATGTTATTAAAAATTATTTACACATACCCAAATGAGTAATTTAATTATATTTTGCTACATGATTACTTACAGGAGTATCACTACTTGGAGTTTTGGTTTGATTTTAACAATTTCTCACTGAAATTCACCTCGGATTTCACAACCCTATTCACCACCCAAGGATTTTATATGGCATATGAATGGTGAGGTGCAAGAACAAATTTCCTGAAAATAAACTCCCAGCTAAAAGCTCTGTCTAAATTAGCTTTCAAAACAGRCTGTGAAGGTGACAAATCCCATTCTGAAGGGTAATATCAGTGTAAGTCATGAACCAGATCAAGACATTGACTTCAAAGAAAAGGCCATGCCAACACCAGCGGCATGGTTTTCGATCCAGTTCTCCAATATGGAGCATTTTAATTTGGGATGTGGAGGGTTCAGGTTCAGCTCTCTGCTCAGTCACTYAGTGTCTAAAAATGCAGCTCCTGGATCTGGTATAAAGGGACAGGAAAGATCTTGGTGCCTCAGTCAAAAACAATTGTATTCTGCACATCATCTGATCAAGGAAGAGTATGACTAGAGACACAGAAACGTCTTCCTCTCTTCCATCAGGATTTCAATCACTCATCAGCATTCCATAAGGCTGAGAGCTTGGGTTTTTAAACAACCTGTGCTGCTGTCAGCAGCAATGAAGAGGTGCAAACCTCTTCAGCAACAAGTCTCTGATCAGCAGTAAAACCCACCGCAACAAGCAAACCAGCTTTGTTAAACAAATTCTCAAATCCTTTTCCCTGCCACCCCATTTTTACTGTAACACAGGCAAATCAGAGACCTGTCGTGGTTTCTCTTTACAGCTCGTAAATCAATGTACAAGTTTGTTGCTCTGCAGTGCTGAAGGTACTGGGAACAGGTCAGAGATGAATCYCCCTGTTAAGAACAAGCAAAATTTTATCAATAACAAAGATTATGTTTAAAAGCAAGTGCAAAKTATCACATCTGTCAGAAATACCTACTGTTGCTGCAGGCTTACAGTGGGTTTTCATCTCACTGAGCCTCTCTTGAACATATCCAAAGTCAGCTTGTTTCCAGAATATTTGCTGGGCTGTCTCGATGTCACTTGCCCTGATGTGTGAAGGACAGAGGAAACAAATCAAGGTCTGTTGCTCAATTCTAGTAATAACTTCAACAGATAACATTTTTCTACTGAAAGTGGAACAGAAGAACCAGCCAGTTATTTTAYTGGCATTTAAGATGACAAAACAGGAAGCACTTATCAGCTGCATGCAAGTGAAAACATCAATGGCAATTTAAAGCTATTCTCCCCTAAAAGGGTATAAATATTTTTTAACATTTTTCCCTCTGTTTTTAAAGCTAAGAAAGGAAATATAGTTATTTTAAGAATCTGAATTCAAGGCTAAAACAGAATAATGAAAACATTCTGGCAGGAAGCATTTCTAACAGTATTTTCTTCCTTGAAAAGTTAAATTTCTTAAATCGTGTTGAAAGGCTCATTATATATAAATACATATATCATAGACACACACAGGTGTCCACAAAGAATCATGCTTTAAATTCTAAATATCACAATAATGTTTACTTCACAGCTATATCAAAGTGAGTACTACACTCTTTTTTTACCATAATGTACAGCAGAGTTTTAAAATTAAAACTTACCATCCAGTTTCAACATAATCACACACCGGGTAACTGAACCTGTTCTCTGATCTGCAAGATTTCTCATAACCCCAGCAGGATTTTAGCTTCTTCAAGTGTTTCTGCAACACAGAATGACTGAATCAGGTTTTGCAACAGGAAATGGGGAAATGACTTAAGTTAGTTGTCAGCTYTTAAACGACCTCTTGCTCATAAATCTTGCATTAAAGGCTTTTTTTTGGTTTGGTGTGTTTTCAGAGTTTGAGAAACAACACCCAGATTCTTCATGCACAAGAGAGGCTCCAAAGAGGACACACATGCACAGCAATGCTACTCTTGCCTTTAACAYGTTCTAAGACAAACCCTTTTCCTGACTAATTGGCAAGGAGACCAATTAATCACCACTGTTTACTGCTATAACTCCCAAGAACAAACCACCCCAAGATGGCATTTGAACAAACAAACAGAAAAAGCAACGTACTTTATATGGGCAAAGAGCATCCTGTTTACAGATGTCAGCAACSTGCTGGTTATTGTGCAGAAAGTAGGGGATGTGCTCATCTGGCAAGTTGATGGCTTTGTAGCTATATAATGGCTCTTCCTGAATGCTTGGGAGTTCAGTAGGATTTTCAGCTTGGGAATTAGCCAGAATTTCTTGCAGTAGTAATCCAAACACGAGCAACATAAACATGGCAACCTGTGAGTTCTGTGCTTTATAAATAAAATAGAAAAGAAAAAAAAAAAGGAAATAATTGTATCTGCAGCATTTCAAGCATACAAGACAAAATTCAGTCAGAGTCAGACATGCACTCAAAGAATTTGTAGTTGCATTTCTGGGGTGGTTTCTTTTTCCTGTGAAGACCAAACTTTCACTGAGAGGCCAGACTGCACAACCTCRGGATTATCTTTGAATCATTAGTCATTGAGTGTTATTACGCACTACCAACTCYCAGTCAGACTAAAATGGGTGTGTTTACTTTAGCTAAATCCCAAGGGATCCTGAGAGTTCAGTGTGGAAACTAAGTATAGAGCATGTAATATCCAGTGAGAAGGGGAAAAAAGTTGAAGAACTAGGGGGAGGGGTGAGAAAAGAAGGGKTTTTAGTTTTAAAATAACTGTAAAAATAATACATTCTCCACTTTGAACTAATCATTAGCTGAAGGAAAACTATGCAGACACAAATAAAGGATCATATAAGTCTGTTACAGGATGCCTGTTTTTAGTGTCTAACATCATGTTAAAGAAACTATACTGAGTATAAATATAATTCTATATGTAACTTTTATATATAATTAAAGTGTATTTATRTATATACATATAYAMACACACAGGCCCACACATATCTGTATACCCTAAAGCTGACTGCATACCTTCCTGGTAATACAACCTTCTCATCTAACACCCCTGCTTTGAACCATTAAACTTCCTGAGGAAAAAAAAATGCATGACCTGTATCTAAACTCCACCTTTTTTGGCATTATAAATTGCTAAAATTTGCATGGCTGCTTTCAACCAAAGCCTTTAGCAAAATTCCTGCCATACAAGTAGTTTTACCTGTTTGGTTTGAGGAGAACTACTTCAGATTTCCCAGGTATAGCAACCTAGAGCAGAAGAGGAAAGTGGAGTTACATCCTGCAAAAGGAGATTTCCTCAGGACACTGTCCTGCTTCTAGAGACTCATTCCCAGCAATGAGAGCAGYTTCCACAGCCTGCACACGCTGCTGGCTTGTCACTCGGGTCCCTTTCCCTGGCACCCACCCCGGGGCATGGGGGTATCTCACAAGGATCAMAGCTCTCCCATCACAGCTCCAACCCCGCGGTTTCCCCAAAACACGCGGCCCTTACCCACGCTGGGCGCTGTCACTTTGGGAAGGCGCCGCACACCCGGTGCCAGGCCGTGTTCAGTGCCAGAACTGACCCCAGAGCCGGACCTGGTGCCCGACCCACGCTTGTCATGCCCGTGCTGGACCCGGCGCCGCCGCCCCGCCCTGCGCTCCCCCGGCCCGGCACAGCATCGCATCTCACCGCGGATCTCACCGCGGATCTCACCGCGGATCACACCGCGGATCTCACCGCATCTCACCGCGGATCTCACCGCGGATCTCACCGCGGATCTCACCGCACCTCAGCCCCGCCGGCCCCGCCGAGCCCCGCGGCCCACGGGACCGGCCGTTCCTGCTGCTGCTCCGCGCTCACCGCCGGCCTCAATCCTCATGTCCGGGGGCAGCGCTCGGCCCGGCCCCGCCGGGCTCCGCGGGGAACAACCCCAGAGGGTGTGAGGGAGGGGCGGGCGGCACCGCCGGGAGCAGCCGGGACCGCCCCGCCCGGGGCGGCGGGAGCCGGGTGAGGAGGCAGGGACGGAGGCGAGCAAGGAGGGAGGAAGGAGGGAGGGAAGGAGGCAGGGAAGGAAGGCAGGGAAGGAAGGCAGGGAAGGAAGGCAGGGAAGGAAGGCAGGGAAGGAAGGCAGGGAAGGAAGGCAGGGAAGGAAGGCAGGAAGGAGGAGCGGCCGCGCCGGGCAGCGGAGCAGAGGCCGGGCGCGGGTCGGGTTCGGGCAGCGCGGCTCAGGTGAGGCCCTGAGGGAAGGGCACCTGCCCGCGGGGGAACAGCGGCGGATCGGCCGCGTCTTCCTTCTGCTGCCGGAAATTAAACGCTGCCGCCCCGGGAGCGGCGAGCGCAGGATGCGGAGGAAAAGGGCCTTTTCCTGCCGCCGCTCGGCAGGAAGCGCAGGCTCCGGCACCCCATTGTTCCAGGCGTCCCCCCGAGCTCCGGCCGGCAGCAGCGGGGCTGGGGCCGGCCCGGCCCGCGGTCACCAACACCCGCAGGAGCAGGGCAGAGGTTCAGCAGGGCAGAGACACACGGCACCGCTCCTGCCGGCACTGGCACCCCGCACCCTCTTTCGCTTTGACCCAATTCCCGCAGTGACGAGCGCCGGGGGAGGCACAGGCGCCAACACTCAAGAGCTTTGAACCGTCTACTAGAGACCAGAGCTCTTCTCCCCTCGTTCGCAGGTGAAAACAAGGAGCAAATGCTCAGCCCGAGACACGAAACCTGCGGGAGAACGCGGGATGGAGGGCGCTGGGAGAGGTGCTGACCCCGCAGGGACACCGCTTATGTGAATAAASGAAATTAGTCTAAATTTCACATTATCCACAATCCCATCACTGCGGTGCATTTATACATAAACCAGCCCCTCGTATCTAAATACCCACAGCACCGCACAACTTTAACTGGCATCTGTAACTCTATGTTCCAACTATATTCCAACTACATCTGGTATCTTTGGACTTSAGCAATATTTTCCTTTCACAGCGCTAGGTTCAAACCCACCCACCCACCCTCCACACAACTATTTTTTAAGTTTTTTCTCAAAGAGAACCAGAGCACACGACTAGCAGAAAATTTTATTTTACCCTGACCCGTGCTTTTTACAGTTTATACACATTTTACAACTAGAAACCGAGCGGTTTAATTTCACTGTGATAACCATTTCACCTCCTATTAAGGATCAACATAGCCCTTAGTAAAATGTAAGCACAACAAATTTGTAGCAGGAAAGAAAATCAATAGAGCTAACCTTTCTCTCGTGCAGACACATGGAATTTTGAACATGGGCTCTTGAGTTCCTAAAGAAAGTRAGCACCAGAATAGTCTATTCCTCATCCAAACCCATCTACATCTCCAGCAGCCTTTCCATCAGCAATTCAGCTCCCTCTGAACACTACACTGAGTAACCTTTAAATAATATTTCCTCATACTTGCATATRAAGTGAAAATGAGAGCTAAATTAGTTGCTTTCAGAAGGAATGTTCTAAAATAACAGATTYAGACAAAAGTGAATACTAGAATTCCAACCTAATTCCTTTCATTTTGCACATTACTTCTCTATGCAATCTCAGTAAGAGCAATGAACTGAATGTGTCCAAGCAGACATTAATGTTTCTTCAAAACAAACATACTATTATATCAAAATGACCAAACAGAACACTTTAAAGTCTATGTTACCTTCCAACAGCCACTTTGTTTTCTAAGGCTTTGATGATTAAGACAAAGAAGGCCATCTGATTCTCAGGTGACAGTAAAGGTTGCACTAAAAGGGAATATAGAGTCCAAAAATAGTCAATACAAATATTTACATCTACTTTAGTAAAATTTAAAAATCTATTTTTCACGTTTTTACATCTAAAACAGTTAATGGTGATTGCATGTTAAAATTCCTGTTTAACCAAAGCTCTTCCTGAGAACCCAAGATAGCCCAAGACATAGTCAGAACTGCCCATCAGCCTTTCAGGAGCATCTGCACACATTACATAGGAAATGTAACCTTTAAAAGCACTGGCAGCAAGAGATCCCAATAAAAGTTTAAAGGATATTWTTTTTTATTGCTGCATTTGTCTACCAAGACAGTAAAAAAAAAAGGTGAAAACCAGCAATTTATCGATTCACTGTAAAAGATAAAACCTGAACAGAATTTCTAATCTTTGACCATCATAAAAAGTTGTTTTCTTAGGAAAAGGCTGAACTAACCCTTGCACATCATAATTTTAACACACAATACATCAGTAAAATTCAAAAAAGCGTTTTAATATAGACTGTTTTTTGCTGAAGGTTGATTAATTTGGGGTTTTTCGGAAACTTGGAGCAACCAAGCATGCTTCAATATGAAGGCAAAGTGTTAAATTCTGAGGTTTTTAGAAGAAAAATCGTACCACCGTGACTTTCAAAACTGAAATGAAGACAAGAAGAGAGTAATTCCCTCCCACCTCCCAATGAAAAAAAGGAAAAAAGTATTTTTATTAAAGCAGTTAAAAACTTCTGTGACAGATGGGGAGTTACAACAAATTTTAGTGTTCTTGTTCTATGGTTTTAATGAAGTTCTCAGAGTAACCTCCTGAATCTCAAATTAGACTAGGATTTTCCATGAACATTACCTTGCCTATGTRACATCAGTAACTAACTGTTCTCCCAGTGAGGAATAAATCCTTAATACCCATAGCAAAATCATATTACCAAGAGGCATTTCTCCCAGAAGCAGYTTCTCATCCTTCACATCCTTTGTCTGTAAGGTCACCAAATACCCAAGCAGCAAAAGTGTTCCCAAATTACAATGTGCACTAGTCTGGGAGAAAAAAAAAAAAAAAAACCTCTCCTAATAGAGGCACTGGTGTGATAAGCAAAGAATTTCAACTGCCCAGTATTTCACACGAGTAGGTTCTGAGATGCAGCAAAATATTTGCTCTCTGGAATGCAGGGAGGAAGACGAAAACTTCTTCCCGCGATTCTCAGCATTCCCAAGGGTCCAATTCAAACATTTCCTCTGACATTACCAAAAATGCAGCTCAACTCCAAGTCATGTGAGTGCTGTTTGACCAATACCTTGCTTAAGGAATGGCATGAGAAATCCTCTGCAGCCACTGGAGACTTRCTCGAAAACTATTATTAAGCCACAGTTCAATTTCACAAGAAGTCTAACCCTTGCTACTTATATAAAAAGAACCATGAGATCTGCAGCAAATTATTTTTAAAAACATTAGTTTTCTGCATTCTTCTGCACTGTTTTAGCTGCTGTTAAAAATCAGCTACTAAATCTAGAATATATATTTAATAGCTCAGATTTCTGGTGTTAAAAGTTGARCACATTTGTCATTACAAGCAGAGCTGTTGTCTCCAGATTGCTCACAAGAACATAAGCAATATACAAGATGAAGCTGTAATTTGAAGTCTCACACTCTGCTTTAGAGGAATTAGTGTAGCCAGACTAATCTGATTTGTCTAAGAATAATCACCMTGACACATTCAGATGCTGCAAGTACAAATCTAAGATTTTCCTGTCATAAAAATATCCACCAGTTATGCTTCAGACAGCAAGTCCCTGCTACTTTGTTATTAAAAATTAACTGATGAGATTTTAGAAAGACTCATATGAAGAACACTTAAGAAAGCCTTCTAACATGATTTTCATAGGTTTACAGAAACGATGAATGAACAGCTGCTTTAGTACTACTCATGCCTTCCAGTGCTGTCTCAGGAGGTAACAACCACCATTTCTGCTGTTTACAAGTAAAATGACCCACCTTTTAGCAAAATCTTAAATAAAGGGATGATGGAAGAAAAGAATTTAAATATTGCACAAATAATTTAACTGCAGACAGAACAGGACACTTAAAGCATTGATTCTTCTGTCAACATATGAACTCTATTATATAGTCACACTTTCTATAATACAGGGTTTTTTTACAAGACATTTAAATTCAGCATTTACAGAAACAATTATCTTTACAGTCTGTCACCATATAATGTTAAGAGTTCCATGAGGAATTAATTTTGTCTTTGTTTTAAAAGTTCATCTATCTGAGTCTTGTACATGTTTTTCACATCTTCCAGATCCAATCGGAGTTCCTCAGCCTCCTCTGCCTTCTCTCCATACATTTGGAGAATCGTGTTGTATCTTTGATCCAAATCCTGCAAGGACACAGTTTGTTATCTCACTGGTTTCCAACTTCAAAGAAGTTGCTGCTGGGACAGTGTTTTACACTACCAGGGGAAATAAGTGCAGCATTACTTTATCTAAGTGTAACTACAGTGAAGGACACAGTAAACTCTTCAAAAATGCTTTGTGCTTTGAATATGGCAAGAGTTATATTCCAGACATTAAAGGAAGATATTCCAAAGATTGTAAAAAGAATTTGTGCTGGCTTCAGAGGACATACTGAGGCACCTTAAAGTTCAGTTGCTATAAGCATTAAAATCAGATAGAAAACTGCAGTTTGACTACAGGAATGACCAGTTTGTGAAATGTTTCATGAGAAGATTCAACATTCTGTATTGAAAAATTATTCCAACATTTTTTCAAATATGCCAGTTTAAATTCTTTAACACTAGGCTTCAATCACTTGTCCTGTTCCCTTTATCTTTACTGAACAGGCATTCAGCTTCTGCATCAACCTCTCATAAATCTATACTATTTATCAAAATACTCACTCAACTAAAAAGTCCTGTTCCAGACAAGTGTCTTAAATGACAGAAACAGAAAAGGTCTCTCTCTGATTTAGCCCACAGTCTTATGCATAGCACACATTTCCAAAAACTGTTTTGAAGTGACTCCCTAACCATGGAGTGRGCATTTTTAGATTCTACTATATAAAAGAAGGAAAAAAAAAACCCAAAAACCAGGTTCTTCAGTCACTTATGATTAGAGACAGATTTGAATATATTCCTAAACTAATAGGACTATTCCTAAAGAAATGCAATTATCTACACTTTACAATGGATTTACTACAAATACAGTTACCTTTAACTGTGTGCGCAATTTTGGTATTTCCTTCACTTTTTCTTCAAGTTCATCGTTTTGATTTGTTAATTTAACCAGCTCTTCTGCCATTATTGATCGAGTTTTCTCCAGGCTTCCAATTTCCAGCTAAAGTAAACAAAAAAAAACAAATAGAAGAAGGATAGAATTTACTCTATTTATAAAAAAGTATCAAAATACACAATAGTTAAGGCTTATTCTTAAGCCAAACTGTGAAACTGCACATCTCAGATCCACTCTCACTTTCTCCTCAAATCTCAGTGGTTTGGGTTTTTTTCATTTTTCAGATAAGTTAAGTTTTCTGGATAGATCCTTGCCAAAACAAAAAAGGAAGCAACAAATCCTTCTCATGGTCATCCCTGCACAGCTGTGCAGGTTTACAGAATTGTCATAATTGTGATCAAGCTTTCTGAAAAGGTACCTGTAGATGTGAAATCTCTCCTTCTCTTAGTTTTAGCTGTGACTGAAGRTTTTCAATTATACTTGAACCCGATCCCATCCTTATTGCATCGTAGAGATTGCTCCCACTGCTAGCTATTGGTCCAAATGAATGATCATGAGGATCATCCTAAAAACAGAAGGTTAAAGAAGCTTAAAAAACTTAAAATTAAGACAAAAATATACCCACTTTGGAATCTTCCYTCTCTTAAGTATGACATAATTCAAGATTTAAAATTACACTATGTTAGGCAAGCATTTAAATACTTAAAGCTTGTTTTCAAAACAAAAGTTTATGGTGAATAGGTACAATTTGGGACAGCTCTCTACTGGTAAGTTCTCCTGACACCTCCAAAGGTGCCATTTAACTTTGCCATTGTTAACTGGATTGACAGGGAAGGAGCAGCAGTAGGACAACAGAGCACAACAGCCAGTAATTGCTGCCTGGGGAGCTGGGGTGTGCCCTAAACCAGGAGTGCAAATAAAGAGMAATCAATTATATGTTTTACAATCACAGACATCTTGTAAGCAGGTTTGAGATGTTTCTACACAAGAAGTTACCTTGTCTAAGGCAAATACACTCTGGAAGATCAATTTTCTATGTTAATAAAAATTCTTGGGAAGGAAAGTAAGTGGGTCTGTCATGAAAAAAAAAAAGCTTTTATAGGTGATCAACCCTACCTGTGAGACAAAAGAGGTCTGAAGACCTGCCATGTCCACCCCACTTATGGAACTGGAGCGGGACATTGAGGGAGTACTTGATACAGTTTCAACTGTAAATGACTTTCGGTCCTTAAAAAGAGACATTCAACATCACCGGTTAGAAAAAAAAGAAAGGTAACAATGAGGTAAAACATTCTGTAGAGAGCCTGTCTTTTCCACCAACAGCTCTAGAACACTATGTGATAAATAAACTTTCTATTTCTCCATCCCTTAAACATATGAAAGTTCAACAATGAAGAATTCCTGTGCTGTAACACTTCCAGCCTATGTTCAAATTYTCAGACTTTTCAGGAAATGAAGACAGAAGCTGCAAATTACAGAATTTATTACAAATTATCAGAAGAGTTTCTCTTTCAAGCAGCCAAGGGAGATTCAGAGGCAGTTTTTATACCCAAATGTATCACAGAGAGAACCTCTCACACCCAGAAGAATGAATGTTAAGAGGAATGTTAAGACCTCTTTCTTCTTTTTAAATAAAGCATATTAATTAAATTCTGGGATTTCTCACATGCTACTGACATCCCTTCCAAACAGACTGGCCCCTTTTATCAGGCAGCATCTATAACTTGCTACCCCCTGAAGGGGAAAGCACTTAGATTTTAGGACTGGAGACAGTAAGAAACAAATAACAAAAATAGTTTTACTTGAATAGCAACTGCTAATTAGMAGTAATGAAGTTAATGATTATTGAGGATTGCTCTGTGACTTGTGACTTCAGCCCTAAAGCATGTGGTACATTACACACAGTCATGTGAAACAAAACAGGAATTCAGTGGAAGCAATGCTGGTAGTCTAAGCAAAGAAAACAAGTAGCTCCAGAAGAAAAAGGATCCAAGAGCACTCAGAACACAGAAGATCAAAACAATAAATCCATATTTTATCTCTTCTCAGATTAAATAGACTGTTACTCAAAACTTATTTCAGTGAGTCTAACAACACCTGTTTCACTGGAAATAAACTGCCAGCTATAGATAACTAYGGAAAGTTTCAGACAACAGCTATCTACAAAAATAAAGACAATATCAATAAGACTTAGAAATGTTAGTATTTGGTACCTTCTCCTTTGCTGCTTCTTGCACAAGAATTGCCTTCTTTCTTTCCTGCTCAACTTTCATCTTCTCCATTTCTAACTGAGTTGTCAGTAGTGTCTGCAAAAAWAAATGCAAGCTGTTAACCTCCTGCTAGCTCAGATTTCAACCGTGACAGAAATTAAAGCTGAACTAGGCAATACCTTTTCTTTCTTTGCATCTTCCAAYGTTTTTGCATACTCCTCTTTGATCCCTTCTAGTTCAACCTCATACCTACATGGAGAAAGAGGTAGAGAGTGTCAYTAAATAAGTATTCTCTGCTCCATTGTCTGCATATTCATATTCTTTCAAAACACACAGCTGCAAGGCTACAAAATGTTATGAATGTAACACATTTCAATCTTTAGTATGAAACAAAATATCTCTAGCAACATTTTGTCACCATTTTGCATAGTTGTATCAACGCTCCATTTCACCACAGTTAGAAAGAAATGCTGGTAACCAAAAATAAACTCACCTACTGTTTTCATTTTCCATTTTCTTCAACTTGTTTCTCTCCACTTCCAGCTGAGCCTGAAGACGGGTATTTTCTTGCCTCAAAAGACTATTCTGAGATTCAGAAGAAGACATCTGAATTTTATTAGCAAGAAGTTCCTCTGTAGCAGCTCGTTCTCTCTCTGCAGCTGCTGCTAGAAGAGTTTGAGACTCACCTAATAGTAAGAAAAACAAGGAMTTTAACCTTTTTTGATCAAGCCTCTATTATATGGACCATTTATTTATACATTAAAATTTATTTTGAGGGGTTTTTATATTCAACTAATCTTTCTTAGAAATACATTTTGTATTTTTGCAAGGGAAATTAAATATTTTCCACACACAGTCAAATGATCAAACCAATGCAGAATGAGATTTCAAACTCTTTCAGAATGCAATTTACAACAA